TGTAGTAAACAGGGAGAATTTGAGAAACCCATAGGGCAGAGACTCAGAGTACAGTTTAAACTCTAAAGTTTTCTAAACCATAGTAACATAACATATACTTACTCTTTAGTTAATTTTAATATGTGTTGCTGCATAAATGTGCATTAAAGTAATCGAATAACTTTTCAGAATAAATCGTTTTGTGACATGATACATTTTCGAAAGATAGTTGGCGTTCTTTTAGGTTACATTGAGGTATATTACTTTGTCTGCCCCTGGGGTTGCCTCATATTATGCTTTTACTGAATGTCCCTTATGAGGGAGGGAGTTCAGAGTTCCTCAAATAGTAATCACCGCCACCCAAATCACTTTGATTATTCTTGGATTTTACGAAAGTTGGCATTTATCTTAAAATAAATACATGAATATTTTGTAATGAAATCTTTTTGATTTCAGATTGAATTCTGCAATAGATCTTTCTACAATTCTGATCTGTTAATTATGAATGTTAGAGAGGATCAAGAGTTACGATCTGCCCAGTAGAAACCAAATTCGGTAGGGAGTAAAATTCGGTGGGGCGTAAAATTCGGTATGGAGTAAAATTCGGTAGGGAGTAAAATTCGGTAGGGAGTAAAATTCGGTAGAGAGTAATATACGGTAGGGAGTAATATTAGGTAGGGAGTAAAATTCGGTAGGGAGTAAAATTCGGTAGGGAGTAAAATTCGGTAGGGAGTAAAATTCGGTAGGGAGTAAAATTCGGTAGGGAGTAAAATTCGGTAGGGAGTAATATTCGGTAGGGAGCAATATACGGTAGGGAGTAATATTCGGTAGGGAGTAAAATTCGGTAGGGAGTAAAATTCGGTAGGGAGTAATATTCGGTAGGGAGTAAAATTCGGTAGGGAGTAAAATTCGGTAGGGAATAAAATTCGGTAAGGAGTAATATTCGGTAGGGAGTAATATTCGGTACGGAGTAAAATTCGGTAGGGAGTAAAATTCGGTAGGGAGTAAAATTCGGTAGGGAGTTAAATATACCTATTGAAAAGTATAAATAAAATAAAAGGGTGATCGCTTTATATTAGTATCAAACTTTCAAATTTATTTTATAATCCTCCTTTTTATTCTGTGCAGTTCCTAAAATTTAACAAAACTAAAAAAAAAGAAACAAAACATAGTAAACTTAGAGCTTTTACTTTGATTTTCGATTTATCAGCAGGAATCCAGCCCCTGTCCTTTACACTTCTACATAATAACTCAAAACCCTTGACCCTTTCAGGCTAATGAGTCTGAATCTATTTGTAGCTGGNTCATGTAATTGTTCGAAAATTTCCACATAAAAAGGTCATGAGGTAAAGGTACAGAGTAGTGCGCTGAATGCTTATAGACCAATTTTTAAAGGCTACCTCATTTGTAAAATATTGACCCCTAACTTTGGGTGCTGGGCCTGGGGAGTTTTTAAAAGGGCAAAAAGATCGGAAAATTTCAAAATTATATTTATAACAAATATCAAGACGTGACACATGGTTTCATAGCCACTTTTTAAAATTTAAAGGCTGTAAGAAAATTCAAGATTTAAATCTGCAGCTTAAATAACAATGTTATGGGCTACTCCAGATTTTTAGAAACACCGACCGGACTTTCAACTGTCTTGTACAAGACTTTTCGCATAAGAAAAATGAAAAATTTACAAAATTTACTGTTTTTAAAAAGTCAAGAAATTACAAGGTGCCAAAAATGAGAGTGTTATAGCAAGAATAAACTAGACAGGGGGCAAAACCCCCCTTCCCCCCACCCCCTCCCTCCTCGTCAGTGTGCAAACTTCATGACTAACTCTGTAAAACCACATGTTCCATGGCTTTTCTAAATAACAACTTATAAAAGTGGAACAGCTTCACCTAAAATAAACATTTTAATGATAAGACTGTTTACAGGGTTTAGAACTAAATTATTATGCTTAATTTTTGAAAATAAGAATAAAGAAAATTAAAATATTTTGCTATGAAAATGTTTTTTTTAAAAAGAAAATAAAAGATTTATTTAGTTTTGCTTCTATTTATTTAGTGCTTTCGCTCTCTCTCGGATTTGTACTAATTAGTTTTAGTATCTTGACAGTTTAGTTCTAAACTAGTATTGAGTAACTTGACAGTTTAGTTCTAAACTCTTTAGTATTAGTATCCTAACAGTTTAGTTCTAAACTTTTTAGTATATAATATCTTAGTTAAGTTCTAGACTCTTTAGTATTTAGTATCTTGGCAGTTTAGTTCTAAACCATTTAGTATCTTTACAGTATAGTTCTAAACTCTTTAGTATTTAGTATTTTGCCAGTTTAGTTCTAAACTCTTTAGTATTTAGTATCTTGACAGTTTAGTTCTAAACTCTTTAGTCTTTAGTATCTTGACAGGTTAGTTGTAAACTCTTTAGTATATAATATCTTAGTTTAGTTCTAGACTCTTTAGTATTTAGTATTCTAGGAAAGTTTTTAGTGCGACACTATGTATATTGGAGGAAGGTTTTTAGTGTGACACTCTGTATATTGGAGGAAGGGTTTTAGTGTTACACCCTGTATATTGGAGGAAAGTTTTAGTGTGACACTCTGTATATTGTAGGAAGGTTTTTAGTTTGACACTCTGTATATTGGAGGAAGCGTTTTAGTGTGACACCCTGTATATTGGAGGAAGGTTTTTAGTGTTACACCCTGTATATTGGAGGAGAGTTTTTAGTGTGACACTCTGTATATTGTAGGAAGGTTTTTAGTGCGACACCCTGTATATTGTAGGAAAGTTTTAAGTTTGACACCCTGTATATTGAAGGAAGGTTTTTAGAGGGACACATTGTATATTGGAGGAAGGTTTTTAGTGTTACACCCTGTATAAATTGTAGGAAGGTTTTTAGTGTGACTCTCTGTATATTGTAGGAAGGTTTTTTTATGTTACACCCTGTATGTTGGAGGAATGTTTGAATGTTACACCTTGTATATTGGAGAAAGGTTTTTAATGTTACACCCTGTATATTGGGGTAAGGTTGATTTTGTTACACCCTGTAAATTGGATGAAGGTCTTTAATGGTACATCACGTATATTGGAGGAAAGTTTTAAGTGTGACACCCTGTATATTGCAGGAAGGTTTAATAATGTTCACTATACTTTTACTCCTGGGCAGTGCTGCTGCTGTGGTACTAGTTTCAGCTAAACCAGGTCAACATTCATTCATTAATTTATTTAACTATCCTTTTATTCGTATGAAACAGAGTGAAGGGACTCAAAACGTCTCAAGGGACAGGGGGGGGGACCTTGAAGTTTTCTAAACATTTTAAGGTCAATTATGTAAGGGGTATCTATCACGTACTCATTTGGTATTCTTCATTTTAAAATCATAGCACGTTTTTTTTGTATTATAAAATGAATGAGAGACACCTTTGTTAATTTAAAAGGTTTCTTTTTTTAGTTTGAATACTTCAGATTTACTAGCTCCTCCTAAAACACTAAGTTAACATTTATGCAACCTCCAACCTGAAATTTATCAATTTAGAGGTTACATTTTCACGATACAAGATAGAATCCACCCATTCATCCTTTCATCCTTTGTTTTAATAAATATCTAATTTTCAGAAGTACCCATAAAAGATGAGACTTTAACAAATGAATGTGAAAACATTTATCAAATCTTAATATTTGTCAAAACCAAAACAGTTGATTTTTTACATTTTTCTAACCTTTTTTTGGCATTTTTTTCAATGAGCTGGCCTTGAAAATTTGGGCTATAAACTCTCAGGCCTTTAAGTATTCCCCCCCCCCCACGGCCCACCCCTGCTTTACATAGATTCAGACCTTGTAATAATTACCTTACTCCGATATTTCCTTGAGTCTGTATCAATCCAGATATAACTCTCTCTCTGTATTCTTAAGTATGTATCAATCCAGATACAACTCTCTCTGTATTCTTAAGTATGTATCAATCCAGATACAACTCTCTCAAACTCTTTCCTCTCTACCCAACAATAGTAGGCCTAAGAATAATTTTATCGACACACAAAGCTTTAGAACTCTTTACTCTCTACTGATAAATTGTATTTTTCTGACCGTAATAAAAAGTGGTTCATATTCAACTCTTCTATATTTTGGGTTTAATAGTACAGGTGAAATGTATTGACTGACAGGTCTGTTCAGAAGTTAATGAACACAGTTATCAATATAAAAGACATAGTACATCCTTGGTAGGCTGTGGTAGGATACACCTCTGGACTCTGATCCTGCCTTTCCTCCCGGTAGTAACTCTCCATTATGTGTTTTGGAGGCAAAGGGGGCAGGGCTTAAGTTACTATAACCCCTTGGGCGGTCTGGGTCTCCCATATTGGGGGACTTTCAGATTTAACTCTTTATCTTATCTTTAAGCTTATTACTATATTTCCCTTCATAGGTTTAAAGTTAGAATCTCTTGAATAGAATATGGAGTTAAAGGGGATGGGCTCTTTTATTGTTGGTCGTATTTAAAATTTTTTCAGGCATTCAAGTTGCATTTGTTAAAAATCAAGAGCACATTCTTTACATTCTTTTAAAATTTTCATGCTCCCCTCCCCCATGTCTTGGGTAGAGGATCTAACATTTGATTGGATAGTATGAAACACAAAAAAATCGATTTTTTTCAGGTTTTGATCCGCATAACATGAATAGCCTTGACATGGGTTTCCAGTTTTCCTTTGCAAATATAAGAATGAGGTAAGACATCCACCACTTCCCTTCTTTGCAAAAAATTTTTTTTTGTCCACCGGAAGCCATGAACCCCATCTATTCAGATTTCCATTTCTTACAAGGGCCGAGTTGGTGAAAAATGGAAAGGGGGTTTAGGCTTAAGTCGTCATTGTTGTTGAAAAATACTGGATGCTGATTGCTGCTAATGTTACTTCTATCTGTCGTGTTTATAAGGAGAAAATTGTTAAAAGGGATGCATACTGAAGAACTTAGTGTCTATACAAATTCAGAAAGTTGCAATATTCTACTCAGATCGCAAAAAAACCTATAATCATCAATTTTTTTGGACGCAGTTGTATATAGTTGACACTCCATAAATATTTTTTATTTATTCGATGCAATGCTAGGTGTCTCTGCCAAGTAAAACCAAGCAGAAACATCAAGAGCAGATATGCCTGGCAGCCAATTAATCGTCATTTTAATTGCATTATATATAAAAGAAATAACCAATATTATGAAGTATCGTATGCGTCAAAAAAAGGATGATTATAGATTGTATTAGATTGTATTGTATAGAGTATTTTCGAATTAAATTTATTTATTTTCGATCCAAGTTGAATATTGCAACTTTCTTAATTTGTATGGATGCTACGTTCTTCATTACAAGTCATTTTTAACAATTTTCTCTTTATAGATAGGATTCAGCGGGGTTGGATCAGGGTTTTGCGGGGATGAAACAAGGTTCTGCTAACTTCCTGGGCTTGAACAGGATATTGCGGGGCTCATGGCCGAATGCCCCTCCCTCCCTCCTCCTAGACTGTACAAATACTAAGATTCTGTTGTACCCTTAAACACCTCAACATAATTCCAATTACATCGTATTTCTAATGCGTAAACAACCGTTGTGACGGGTCCAGAAGTGCCGCCATTTCATCACTCTATAATTTACAGTTTAGGAATGTTAAAGTAAACTTCACAAGCTAACTTTAATAGAGTGGAATGAATTATATCAAAACAATGAAGACGACATTCGATTTTAATTTTGATTTTAAGGGTGTCCTACGAAACATGACAGTTGGTGAATAGTTAAAAATGTCTCCTTCCATAATTTGATAAGATGTTTGATACTAAAGAGACTAATAACATTTTTTATTGACAGTTGTATCATAAGAAATAAACTGCAAAATGTCTTTAATAGCTAATACAGTATGTGGAAGAAGTCATTCAAAACTATTCACCAACTGTCATGTTTTGTGGGACACCCTGTATGTCAAGCTTTTAAACAGTATGGAAACAAACAACGGCTGTCAATTTAAAAAGCTCTTCAATTACGTGTTAACATTTAATCCGACTAAAGCTTGTTAACAATTAAAATTTATAAAAAAACAGATTTCTTGATTACATTGTTAAAATCGTCTACCACCGTAAATAAGGGTAACTGTAACAAAAAAAATTTGCTTATACAAAATTTGAGTTTTAATACAAAACTAATAGAAAATAGTGACGATGGTCTTTCGAATAATTCCAAATTCCGAGATTTCAATGCTTCAAGTTTTTTGCTGCAAGACTTACTTTCGATATATTTTTACAATTTAAACAAATTTCACCCAATACCTACAAGGGGGTATGGGGTTCCTGGGAGAGACTAACACCGTTTTTTGGATATATCTTATATAAGGGCCGTTAATACATATTAAAAGGATGCCTTTTAATTAAGTGTGAATTCCCTTTAAAAGTTTTTCTTTACTCGTTTTTGTACAGGAAAACACTAACTAGCTTTAGGATAATTGGAAAATGATATCTTTGGTTAATTAAATTATGTTAATTAATTTAGTTAATTATAGATTTCCTACTTTAAATTCTATAAACATACGATCAGCTGGTTAATTTGTTTTTAATGGATAAATTTGTCCCAGTTTTTGTGATTATGATCACAGTTTAAATCCATGTTGGTGCTGTTCTCAGAGATATTCCTGAGTTCCAAAGTACTGCTGCGCTCGGAGATGTTCCTGAGTTCCAAAGTACTGCTGTGCTCGGAGATGTTCCTGATTTCCAAAGTAGTGCTGTGCTCAGAGATATTCCTGAGTTCCAAAGTACTGCTGTGCTCGGAGATGTTCCTGAGTTCCAAAGTAGTGCTGTGCTCAGAGATATTCCTGAGTTCCAAAGTAGTGCTGTGCTCTGAGATGTTCCTGAGTTCCAAAGTAGTGCTGTGCTAAGAGATATTCCTGAGTTCCAAAGTACTGCTGTGCTCGGAGATGTTCCTGAGTTACAAAGTACTGCTGTGCTCGGAAATGTTCCTGAGTTCCAAAGAACTGCTGTGCTCGGAAATGTTCCTGAATTCCAAAATACTGTAAAACATAGATATCTGGCTGATAGGAACATTGTATAACTGATTCTACCTCTATAACCGATTCTACCTCTCTAAAACTGATTCTACCTCTACATAACTGATTCTACCTCTATATAACTGATTCTACCTCTAAGTAACTAATTCTACCTCTATAAAACTGATTCTACTTTTATATAACTGATTCTACCTCCTATAACTGATTCTACCTCTACATAACTGATTCTACCCCTTTACATAACTGATTCTACCTCTATGACTGATTCTACTTCTATATAACTGATTCTACCTCTCTATAATTGATTCTAGGGTCTGTCCTAGTATACGATTTTTGGACCCCCCCCCCCCNGTATGTTCAAGGGGCAAATAGTTGGGGTTTATAACGAGAAAAAGGTAAAGTATGTTCAAGGGGCAAATAGTTGGGGTTTATAACGAGAAAAAGGTAAAGTATGTTCAAGGGGCAAATAGTTGGGGTTTATAACGAGAAAAAGGTAAAGTATGTTCAAGGGGCAAATAGTTGGGGTTTATAACGAGAAAAAGGTAAAGTATGTTCAAGGGGCAAATAGTTGGGGTTTATAACGAGAAAAAGGTAAAGTATGTTCAAGGGGCAAATAGTTGGGGTTTATAACGAGAAAAAGGTAAAGTATCCAAAATGGTTTTATCTTAAAATTTTCCAATTGCGTCGAAAAACAAAACAAAAAACAAGATTACGCAGATTTATTTCAAGTTAAAGAGAGGCAACACTTAAACATTAAAACTTCTTTTAACCTTCTTTTGTGTCATTTTGGAGCGCATTAAATAATCATCCGTTATCATTAACCCTATCCTGAATGGGCTATTTTTGTCCAATATAGATGGAGGGGGGGGGGGTGTTTATCACCACCTTCCTATGATTTTGACCTTTATGTTGAGATATGGGAGTATGATAAATGTCCCTAGTCCAACTTTTAACAAATAAATTAAACCTCTAACTTTAATGGTTAGGGTGTAGAGGAGAATTTTTAAAAACCATGTCAATAATATTTTTAAAACTAGTTATTATTACGTTTAACAAATAATATCATATGACAGATGTTCTTATATCCATTTTTCAAAGGTTTTTCCAATACTTAAGTCTTAGCCTAGTAGCTTAATAAGTAAAAACAAGTTTTCAACCATTTCTGATTTCTTGAAACACCGACCCGCCGTTTGACCGTCCTCCACACCCTATGCTAAGTATTAAAAAATTTAAGAAGTTTTTAGTGTTTTGATGTAATAAGTTTTTAAGTTATTCAGAAGAACCCGCTTCCCCCCCCCATATAGTGATAGGGTTAAAGGGACTAAAAAAAAAACCCCAGCGATAAAATCATTAGTGTTGATACCCTAAGGTCAGAGTAAAAAATTTGAATAATGCAATATCATAATTAAAGCATAGAATTTTGAAATTTGATGAATATCTTGGATTCTTTAAGTGAAGTATTGAGTTTATCAAATACAAATAATACCTTGTATGTTTGACACAGATTTAAAAACTATACCAAACAGTGCAAAGGAGAAATAGCATGCAGAAACATAGTTTACAAAAAAAAATTATACATTTTGGAAGAATTGAAGATGGAAATTGTTATTTTTTAATTTTTTTAAATTTTGCTACTAGTTTATGTGGCATCCGACTGAGTTTTCAACTATTGCTGTATTTACATCAACAGATCCCACAATGCAGTGGAATATGCTCAGGTATTTAAAGCAAAACAAAAAATCCAATTTTTAGAAAACAATTTTGTCTTTGTGTTTGAAAAAAACGGTGTTGCCCGTGGAAAAAAATAAAATATTTTTTTAAATGTTTGAAATTGTTTAGCCTGTAAAACCCCCCGGCCACCCATGAGTGTCCATAAAAAAAAATTCAGCCCAACTGGTCCAGCCGATTGGCCGGGTATACGAAACATTTAATTTCGTAAAATCAATAATTTCCGAAATGGTTTTACTGCAAAACAATCAGAAAGCTTCCAATTTACATTTATAAGGTTTATAAGGTTTCAGATCAATTTCTTTGTCTTTAATTGCAGGAAACTTGGATCCTTTAGCATTTTTGAAAAATGTAAAAAAATCTTTAAAACGCTCATTTTTTAGAAAAGATTTTTAAGAACTCGATATATTCTGTACATCATTCATCCATTTATGTCGCTCTCGGTTTTTCGACTTGACTAGAATTCATGAAAAAAAAAATTCATGAAATATGAAAATTAATTCCAGTACTGTGCCTGGAGATATGGGAAGTATATTTACTCTTAGCAGCAGAGATATCAGCTCAATAGAGGTAAAATAGAAACACAATGAATCGTTCATGAAGAAAACCGAACAGACTGTTTTGAAAACAAACAGTTACTTATACGAGCACTTTAACGAACAACAATGTTATAAACGTTCTATCGAAAAGACCCTATAACCTGAACAAACAGCTTCCCATGTCATATCCGTTAGTTTATACAACCTTTTATAATGCTTAATTTGAAATAACCAGCTGTATTGAGGAAGAATCAGATATATTGGGGTATAACCAGTTGTATTGAGGTAGAATCAGATATATTGGGATATAACCAGCTGTATTGAGGTAGAATCAGGTATATTTGGGTATAATCAGTTGTGTTGAAGAAGAATCAGATATACTGTGGTATAATCAGCTGTATTGAGGTAGAATCAGATATATTGGGGTAAGACCAGCTGTATTGAGGTAGAATCAGATATATTGGGTTATAATCAGCTGTATTGAGGTAGAATCAGATATATTGGGATATAACCAGCTGTATTGAGGTAGAATCAGATATATTGGGGTATAACCAGCTGTATTGAGGTAGAATCAGATATATTGGGGTATAATCAGCTGTATTGAGGTAGAATCAGATATATTAGGGTATAATCAGCTGTTTTTAGGCAGAACCAGATATATTGGGGTATAATCAGTTGTATTGAGACAGAAGCAGCCATAATGAGATATAATCAGCTGAATTAAGGTAGCATCACCTATATTGGGGTAGAATCAGCTGTATTAAGGTGGAATCAGTTTACTGGTGTAGATTCAGCTGTATTGAAGTTGAATCAGCTATAATGGGGTAGAATCAGCTTTATTAAAGTATAATCAGTTATATTGGGGTAGAATCAGCTGTGTTAGGGCAAAACCAGCTATATTAGGATAGCATCAGCTAAATTGAGATAGAATCAGATGTATTGAGGTAAAATCAGCAAAATTGGGGTAAACTTATCTATACTGGTATAGTATCTCCTAAATTGAGGTAGAATCAGTTATATTGGGATAGAATCTCCTAACTTAAGAAAGAAACAGCTGTATTGAGGTAGAATCAGCTGTGTTGTGGTAGAATCAGCTATATTAGAATGGGATCAGTTGTATAGAAGTAGAATCAGCTATATTTGGGTAGAATCAAATATATTATGTAGAATCAGTTGTATTGAGGTAGAATCAGCTATATTGGGATGGAATCAGCTGTATTGAGGTAGAATCAGATATATTCTGGTAGAATCAGCTATTTAAGGTAGAATCAGCTGTATTGAGGTAGAATTTGCTATATTAGGTTAGAATCAGCTGTATTAAGGTAAAAAAAGTTATATTGAACCGCGTAGAAACTGCTATATTGAGGTAGAAACTGCCATATTGAGGTAGAATCAGCTACATTGGGGTAGAATCAGCTATATTGGGATACTATCAGCTAAATTGAGGTAAAGTCAGCTATATTGGGGTAGAATCAGCTATATATAAGGTAGAAACAGATGTAATACGGTAGAACCTGCAACTATATTGATTTAGAAACTGCTATATTGGAGTAGAATCAGCTATATTGGGTTAAAATCAGCTTTATTGGGGTAAAATCAGCTTTATTGGGGTAAAATTAGCTTTATTGGGGTAAAATTAGCTATATCGAGTAAAAATGAGCCACATTGGGCATGGGGTAGAATACGCTTTTTTGAGAAAGAATCAGCTATGTTGGTTAAGACTGAGCTACGATGAGGTAATATCAGCTGTTCGTTAAAACCGAATATCCAATGAGCTCAGTTTTGTAGAACCATTGCATCGCTTAAAACATGAAACAGCACTCATAGAATTAATTTGGTTTGAATCAACATATAACTATAATTTAAAAACCCTGGGGAATCTAATTTTTTCATTTAATTTTGATGTGTGGAAAAAGTGTATTTTTGTCATCTTAAAAAAACATATAATCAAGGGGACTATAAGCCTAATTTCAAGTGAACCTCTATTTGATGACGGTCTACAATGATACCCTTAAAACTTGTGTGTGGGTCGTCGAGTACAAAGATGTGTGTGTTTAAATATATCGAAACCCGCTCGCAGCTGCAAATTCCTAAGAGTTCATTTGAGTTCTGACTGCACACAGTGTTTACTGTACGCACTTAATCAGGCAAGCAGGATTTGATAAGTGTACATACGCATATGCACTGAGATATAGACAATGCAATGAGATATGACAACTCTGAAAGTTAGCCGACACATTTTTGGACATCCTAGAATTTAGAGTCGCAATGCTTTGGCCTTTGGTTTCACCTCACAAACTCGCCTAAAGTTTTTGTAGCCCTAGGCACATATATTTTATAAATGCATGTACTGGAGGAACACACACAGGTTCTGAGGTTATCGTTGTAAATCGGACATTTTTGCATGGATTGGGTCACTTAAAAATACGCTTACATTCCCTTTATAATTCTAGAACACTGTATTTCTAGGTTACTGAGAAACCAATAGAATTAATAGACTACAGAGAATACATGCGCTTACAGAAATATACACTTAAGCAAGGTTAGTTTAGTGTAAAACACATTGGATATGGGTGTAATAAATTTATACGATTTCTCTAGGCCGACTTGCATTGTGTAATGTGCATAGGGTTAGGTTTTAAATTAAAAAAGACAACTTTTTGCAAGTGATAATTGCCAATTTGAAAAAAAATCCTTAATTACTGCATTTGACTTTTTTAGATTTTTTAAATGGTACCTATCAATTGTAATTGCGGTTTTTCGACCTTTAAGCCTGAAGCATGTTAGATTGGCAAACTAAGGTAGAGTGTGGGGGTGGATGGGAGGGTAGAGGGGGTGTTAGGGCGTAGGCAGATGGATTTTCCCCCGAGGAATTGTACCTTTCCCACCTTAAGACAATCGTTGTAATAGATAAATGTTACAAAAGTTCATCTAAAAATCGTTGAATTTATTAACATTTTGGAATTCTGAGAAAAAAGCAGTGAAGATACATCTATAAATAGATTGAACGATTCAAAATTTGTTATTTTAATGTTTATCCGAAAGACTCATAACTTTGCAATACTAGCATCTTATACGTCTGGTTTACTCAAGGGGGGGATCCCCGAGGGAAGAGTCCCTGGGATCCCCCTTTATTTCCTTATTGTGATACAAATCTATAACATTTGATACACTTCTAGAAAGCCCTTGGGCTTTTCTTTAATATCTGCAAAAAATACAAATTTGCAAAATTTCAGATATTTATTGCATTTTCAAGTTACTATCAAGCAAAAATGTGCAGAAACATAAAGTGCGCGAAATATAATGAATTATAAATTATAAGAGCCCCTACCACGGCAAATTTAAATATGCAAAATATTTGCAAAATTTTTAATAAACTGAATTTTTATTCAAGGAAAACTGGAAATGTGCAAATTCTCTTTAAAGGCATCAATTGCAAAAAAACTATGCAACACTTCCTCGCAAAATGTTAACAATCTGCTTCCTTTGTTCAAGGCTCTCCAAAGAGCTATGTAAAGTTAAAAATTCAATGACCGGAAATAGGTCTAAATAAAGATTTAGTCAGGTCACGGTAAATTAATGCATTCAGGCAGTATGCCTCAGTACTCTGGCAGAATGTATTAAAGCCCCGCTTTAAGTCTAAATTGAGTGGCATTTGAACAGCCTCAGACTAATACTTTTTAGTTATCTTCAAAAAACGTCAGGGGGGTTCCTGGGACCCCTCCGCCCTACCCCCAACCGGAATAGGGTTTACAAACAAAATATTTAAAAACGAACAAAATTATTAGTAAACAAAGATACGAACGATACGAACTATATAAAAACTAATTAAAAAAACGAACGCGCTGCACATCTATTATAATCTCAACCAATTCTAAGTATCTCTTTTTGACTTAATATCTAAAATGATTAGGGAAGATGGAAGGAGTAACTATGCCTGGGATTTGGCTAAATTAAACATTAACATGATGACATACACATATCCAGGAGACAAGTAGGATCCTTTTAAAATTTAAAAATTTACTTTAAACAAACAAATAAAATCTAAATGCAGGTGGGCCCAACAATTGAAAAACTTTTTCAATCGGTGGTCACAATTCACTATTCACTAAAGAATTAGTCGGGTAAAGAAAAAAAATTAGGCATATATACATAGTATGCCTGCAAAGTCGGCCTAAATATGTATGTAACATGAGAATAAGTCAAAAGAATTGAATAGTCTCAACGCAATAATTTTGGTATTTCGCCCGATTACCTTAGTTAGTGTGACTGTTAACTGTTTATTTTTTACAACTGTTTAATGAGCAACGATGCTGTTATTCATTTTTCAATCTGAAATCTGACAGTTTTCAGCTGTTATTCTGTTGCAATAAGATAAATTACAATTGGAAATTATCAATTTTTAAATAAATGTAGAAAAGCATGAATAACCCTAATGACGATGGTTGAATATGAGTACAGTTGTAAATCAGATAGCCCTGTAAAATGTTGAAATTGTATCGACAGTCCGTTTAAAGTTTAATTATAATCAGCTAATTTAAATTTTATAAATAAAGGCTATCCATCTTTTTATGTACATTTTTTTAAGATTGAAAGATTTTGCAGTTTTTGGAGAAAAAGTGTATCTACCGATGAATGGAAAAGTTATCACTGCTGTGAAAAAGGTAAAAAAAAACAAGGTTGAAAAAAAAAAATTTACGACAAAGTTTACGAAAGTTATTTTTTTTCAATTTTTAAAGTATCCTTTTCTTTTTTGTGTTTGTTAGTGGTTGTAACATATGTAAATGTATCTGCAAACTCTTCTTACTTAATGTTTGTTTAAAGGAAATAGACAATCCTCCTGATCTCAGTGCAGCTGTTGATCTTATGGATCATGATTCTGGAGATGGAATTGATCTTCAGGTAGTTTTGATTTACAGGTAGTAAAGATCTGCAGAAAGAATTGCACTAAAGGTGGGAATGATCTGGAATTGATCTTGAGGGAAAATTTATATTTACGGAGAATTGCTCGTTAGCTAGCATTGACCTTAAGGTAGAATCGATTTTCAGTTGGGATTGATCTTTAGATAATATTCATCTTCAGTTAGAATTGATCGGCAGGTAGGATTGATCATAAGGTAGGATTGATTTACAGGTGGATTGATCTTCAGGTAGAATTGGTCTTCATGAAGAATTGATATGCAGGAGAGAATGATCTCCAGGTAGAATAGATCTTCAGGTAGATTTGATCTTCAGGTAGATTTGATCTTCAGGTAGAATTGATCTTAAGATTGATTAGAATTGACCGATTAATGGATTTTTTAAAATTTTATTTACGGTTGTAGGCGATTATATCAATATAATGAAAACAACTTTTTTTATTTAATTTCTAGTTTTTTTTAAATTACAAGATAATAAAGAGAACTTTTGTTAATTGACAACTAGCTCTTTGTTACCATGTTTAGTGTATCCATGATGTTAAAAAGCTTGAAATAAATAAAAATTCAAATCGAACGTCGTCCTCATTTTATTGATATAATCGCCTACCACCGTAGCATAATTTAATTTCCTTGTTAACCTACATTCTAAGTTTGTTAACCTACATTCTAAGTTTGCTCAATGTTATTTCAATAATGTTTTATTTCAGGAAAAACCTCAAAATATGATTGAGGTTGAAATTGGTGGAGAGGGTTCTTCTGCCATGCTTAGACTTCTTCATCTTCAACAAGATTCAATACCAGATACCATACAGGTTAAACCACTGTGGGTTTTATACCAGATACCATACAGGTTAAACCACTGTGGGTTGAATACCAGATACCATACAGGTTAAACCACTGTGTTGAATACCAGACACCATACAGGTTAGACCACTGTGGGTTTTATACCAGATACCATATAGGTTAAACCACTGTGGGTTTTATACCAGATACCATACAGGTTAAACCACTGTGGGTTGAATACCAGATACTATACAGGTTAAACCACTGTGGGTTGAATACCGGATACCATACAGGTTAAACCACTGTGGGTTGAAAACCAGATACCATACAGGTTAAACCACTGTGGGCTGAATACCGGATACTGTTGAGGTTAAACCACTGAGTGTTGAATACCAGATTCTATTCAGGTTTAACCACTGTGGAATGACTACCAGATACTATTGAGGTTAAACCACTGAGGGTTGAATACCAGATACTATTCAGGTTAAACCACTGTGGGTTGAATACCGGATAATATTCAGGTTAAACCACTGTGGATTGAATACCAGATACCATTCAGGTTAAACCACTGTGGGCTGAATACCAGACATTGTTGAGGTTAAACCACTGAGTGTTGAATACCAGATACTTTCCAGGTTAAACCGTGGTTGAATACCAGATACGATTCAGGTTAAACCGCTGTGGGTTGAATACTAGATACGATTCAGGTTAAACCACTGTGGGTTGAATACCAGATACTATTCAGGATAAATCACTGTGGGTTAAAAACTGAACACTATTGAGGTTAAACCACTGTGGGTAATACCAAACACTGATTAAACTACTGTGGGTTAAATACGATAAACCAAACAGATTAACAGCGTAAGTAATGCAAAAGATATTTTCTGAATTGTATAGTATTATTTTTTCAATTACATTTTAACTGCAGTTTTTTGAAGGTTGTGCCTGGTCATTAAAAATATAATTTAAAAAAACAAATTAATATTTCAAGGTAGGGAAAAACTACCTTGCTGGAACTCTATTGGGTTTAGCTGGGAACTCTGGGACAACATACACCCCTCATCTTCATCTTGTATTCGGTTTCTGGGATAATAGTTCCAGGTACAGAATAAACATACACCCCTTATATCCCGTATTCTGGGATAATAGGTCCAGGTAGAATACACCATACACCCCTTATATCCTGGATTCTGGGATAATAGGTCTAGGAAGAATACAGCATACACCCCGTATGCTGTATTCTGTTGTATTCTACCTGGACAACATACACCCCTTATCTTGTATTCTGGGATAATTATAGGTCCAGGTAGAATACAACATAAACCTCTTATCCTGTATTCTCGGATAATATGTCCAGGTAGAATACAGAATACACCTCTTATCTTGTATTCTGGGATAATAGGTCCATGTAGAATACAACATACACCCCTCATCCTGTATTCTGGGATAATATGTCCAGGTAGAATACAACATACACCCCGTATGCTGTATTCTGGGATAATAGGTCCAGGTAGAATACAACATACACCCCTCATCCTGTATTCTGGGATAATAGATCCAGGTAGAATACAACATACACCCCTCATCCTGTATTCTGGGATAATAGGTCTAGGTAGAATACAACATACACCCCTTATCTTGTATTCTGGGATAATAGGTCCAGGTAGAATACAGCATATACCTCTTATCCTGTATTCTGGGATATGATGTCCAGGTAGAATACAGCATACACCCCTTATCTTGTATTCTGGGATAATATATCCAGGTAGAATACAGCATACACCCCTCATCCTGTATTCTGTGATAAAAGGTACAGGTAGAATACAATATACCCCCTTATCCTGTATTCTGGAATAATAGGTCCAGGTAGAATACAACATACACCCCTTATCCTGTATTCTGGGATAATAGGTCCAGGTAGAATACGGCATATACCCCTTATCCTGTATTCTGGGATAATTTGTCCAGCTAGAATACAGCATACACCCCTTTCCTGTATTCTGGGATAATAGGTCCAGGTAGAATACAGCATATACCCCTTATCCTGTATTCTGGGATAATATGTCCAGGTAGAATACAACATACACCCCTTATCCTGTATTCTGGGATAATATGTCCAGGTAGAATACAACATACACCCCTTATCCTGTATTCTGGGATAATATGTCCAGGTAGAATACAACATACACCCCTTATCTTGTATTCTGGGATAATAGGTCCAGGTAGAATACAGCATACACCCCTAATCTTGTATTCTGGGATAATAGGTCTATGTAGAATACAACATTCACCCCTCGTCCTAATCTTGTATTTAGGAATAATAGTTCTAGGTAGAATACAACATACACCCCTCAGCTTGTATTCTGGGATAATAGGTCTAGGTAGAATACAACTTACAGGCCCCTTATACTGTATTCTCGGATAAAAGGTCTAGGTAGAATACATCATACACTCATCATCTTGTATTCTCGGATGATAGGTCTAGGTAGAATACATCTTGTGTTCTGGAATAATAAGTCCAGGTTCATCATACACTCCTCATCTTGTATTCTCGGATAATAGGTCTCGGTAGAATACATCTTGTGTTCTGGAATAATAGGTCCAGGTAGAATACATCATACACTGCTCATCTTGTATTCTCGGATAATAGGTCTCGGTAGAATACATCTTGTGTTCTGGAATAATAGGTCCAGGTAGAATACATCTTGTATTCTGGGATAATAGGTCCAGCTATTACAACGCACTCAACATAATTGTGGCTATAATGTTATATAAAGTGATTTTGTAAATTTTAAATAAATAATTAATACAGAACTTTTTTCAGATTTTGGTCTTTACCAATTGAATTTGAATCCGTCGAACACAGAATACTTCTTCCCTATCCTTCAGGGTAAATATCAAAATGCATTTATAAATCAAATATTAAGAATATTATATAATATGGCAAACCCTTTTAAACTAGCTGTAAAATATAGGCAGATATGACAGTAAAGCAATCTTATGTCTATTTGATGTTTGTAACAAAGAAAATCATTTTCAAGTACATACAATCAAAACAAGTTCATTGAACAATAAACTATGAACACTTTATTTTCGTTGCAACGCAAAGCTCGATTCACAACGATACCATTAAAAGCTTTGTCTGATCAAGTATGAATTATATATCAATGTTTCTAATTTCAAAAAACTGATTTTGGGTTCTTTACAGAAATAACTATTGCAGGACAACATATTAGAAATTATGAGAATTAAACCCAGAAAAAACGTCAATGTCTTCTTCTTTGGATCAGATAAAGGTTTCAAGGGTAACGTTGTGAATCATGCATTGCCCTCTTTGCATTAAGGATCATTTGAAATTACGCATATTGTCCGTAAATCTTCCAATTTACACATATTGGAGACATGGAAGAAATATGAAATAATTAATGTGTCACAGCCACGGAGAGAAAGAATCTGTTAAGATCTTATAATTGATTCATTGGCGTTGAAAGAGTTAGATGGAAATTACGAAACTGTATTGAACGGTAAAGCCGGATTTTATTTAGGACTGGGTAATGTTCCGCAAACGTTAATTATTGCATGAAAATTACAGAAAATAAGGCAGAAGTCTTACGCGTTTTGTTGTAATTAAAAGAAAAAAAAGAAGGCAACATTTAAATAATGAAATATGAATATATAATGTATTTATATGTAAATTAGCTATAGCTAAAGCGGACAAACCGGCTGTACTTTTTGAGGAAATCCACGGGTACCCGGGGGGGTAACATTGACTAAAAAAATTAGATTTGTTCTTCCAAATTCGAAATTTGTTATCAAATATTTCTATAATTCCCCGGGCAACGCCGCGGGCACTTCACACAGCTAGTCTATATAATAAAGCTCTTCGCTCTTTTCTTAAATTCCATGGGCCGAACACGGGGGGGAACTTGATCTAGTTAATATTAAACCAGTTCCATGGTGGTCCTAACTCCTAATATGTAAAATTTGCGCCCATATCCCCCCCCCATCCCTCCACCTTACATCTATTCACTTTGGTTTAGATATGAGTACAGCAATTATCATCAACATGAGTTCCTCTACCCTAAGCTGGGATATTGTATCAAATCAGCTTAACGAAAAGAAGAAGAAACCTCAAGAGAAATTACATAACTGTTTAAAGTGCAACAATAACAATTTATGTTTGAAATGTTTGCTTTAAGATAGAATATAATTAAACAAAATAAGAAAAACATGTTTTACACATGATACACTTTTATATCACAAAACTTATAATTTATTTTCTAAAATGAGGTCAAATCAATGAGGATATAGTATATAGAGTGATGATGTACCCAAATCCTTCACATAATTGTACAGGCCATGTACTCACCTCCAAAGGTCAATCTGTATATCACTGTACTCGTGGGTGATTTCTGAAAATATTTAAATGGAGAATTTGTTTTCCATGTAAATATTAAAATCCACTACTCCGTGTGCAGGATTTCATTTTCACAGGAAGACTTACATTCACAGTCTTTTACAGAGCAATATTTCACCTTTAAAACTCGGTGATGGTGATGGACCAAACCTCTGTAGAGTAAAAAAGTAGATGTTAGTTCCACTTTTATTGAAAATATATTTTGGTCTACCTGGGTTGACCCTCGTCAGTTATATAATAACCGTCAAAATCGATAAAAATGTTAAAAATCACAAGAAGATAAACAAACAAAAAGATTATTCAAAATAAAAATTTGGTCTGTCAAATGGACATAAGGGAAACGAACTCAGATTATCAGATGGAAAAAAGATAATTTGCAAATATTCACTTTTAAAAAAATGGTTCAAGACAATTATTATTCCTTGAGATTGTTTCTTCACAAAGATTAAAAACAAACTGTAGATGTGTGAGTATAGAGAGTTGGGGTGGGGGTCGATCTAATTAACGAACTTTCGCGTAAGAATAAACTATTCTGAGAAAACTGAGTAAAATTCAAGATATAAAACCTCCCCATAAACTTGTACTCCAAAAGCTTTCTGCATATTTAATGTTTGTACTGTATGAATAGGTCATAATCTTTATCAGTAAACTATCCCAAGTACACAGCTAAGATCCAGTTCAACTGGGTGAAATTTTCAGTATTAATTAATTTGTATTATAGTTTTTGATTTTTTCACTTCAGATTAAAATTAGCATATACAGAAACAGATAAAAGAAGAGAAACAACGATATAATACTAGATTTGCTTAATTCTGCATTCAATACAGACTTGTAATGATAAAGAAATATGCTTGTTTTCAAATGCAGGGATACATTAATGTAAGAAAAAGGACTCAATTATGTACAATGTACACTGCACACTGTACACTGTACACTGTACACTGTACACTGTACACTGTACACTGTACACTGTACACTGTACACTGTACACTGTACACTGTACAGTTGTCTCTAAAGTCTCATCCTATACTTTTTCTCCTTGTATCTGTTTACTATCTTTCTATTTATCTTTTCTATCTACGTATCCATCTATTTATCTATATTTATATTTTATCTATCTATCTATCTATTTATCCATCTATATATCTATCTATATCTATTTATCTATTCATATGCATTTGTCTTCTTCTATCTATATATACTTTGCTTGTCTGTTTGTCTGTTTGTGTCCAATAAACGTCAAAACGGCTGAACCGATCGGGGCCAAATTTTGTGTGAGCCCTCACAATACCCCAAAGAAATGATCAAATTTTCAAAATTTTGTGCATTAAAGTTTTTATTTTGTAAAAATTTGAAAATGCGCAAAAAATACTATGAAATCAGCAAGCTTTTTTATTTTTATATTGTACAAAGAGAAGATGCTCACAGATAAAGGCACAATTAAAAGTTGAAATAGAAGATGGGCGCGGATCGCCCTGAGCCTGTTATATATTTTTCTGTCTATCCATCTATACTACATATCTATCTATATATCGATCTATTATCTATCTATCTATCTATCTCTTTTTCTCTATCTATCTACTCTCTCGGCCTCAGAATCAACAGGTCTCTTCACTTCCACTGAGAATGTGAAAACAGTCAGTATTCAATGTTACAGCGGAGACAGGTTTCATCATGATAAACCTACCCACTTCAGCATATTATTGCAGTTCGTACAGGTTTAAAACAATCTAAACCATGTTTAATTTGCATACAAAACAGAGTTTTGTTTCAAGATACAGAATACAGACATGTTAATTTTGTTCATAACTGAGGATTATTGTTTTTTTGGGGGGCTAACACATGTTTGTTAGCCTATTACTCCTATATTGACCATGGAAATGAATTGTGTAAAACCAATTCAATAATGTTGGTCTAAACCCTAAAAAATTTGTTATAATTACAAAAGACACTTTTTGTAAAGCTAAAATGTAATAAAATGTTAAAAGTTGAAAAAAGGCCAACTCTTTTTACACTAGTTTCATGTGATGGTCGTTGATCAAACTCTTTTTACACTAGTTTCATGTGATGGTCGTTGATCAAACTCTTTTTACACTAGTTTCATGTGATGGTCGTTGATCAAACTCTTTTTACACTAGTTTCATGTGATGGTCGTTGATCAAACTCTTTTTACACTAGTTTCATGTGATGGCCGTTGATCAAACTCTTTTTTAACTAGTTTCATGTGATGGCCGTTGATCAAACGATGAAAAATCATGATTCAAACTTTAAAACTAAAATATTAAGAGAGGGAACAAGTTTGAAGATAAAATATTGTCTCACTCATGAACGACTTTGCAGAGTTATTGTTTTTATTTGTGCAGAGTCAAAATTGTTTATCTCATAAAAATATCTTTTGCAAGAAATAAAAAATATAAAAATGTTAAAAATTTTCAGCGTTTTGTAAAGCTTCATTTGGATTGTATCAATTTCAAGAAGGTTGCATTGCATTTTTAAATGCAGATCTTATTGAAGCAGGTGTTCAAAATCAATTTGTTTCTCTTATACATTTGCATTTTTTCTATGATATATAATACTTTTTCTCATATTTAAATACCGTTAATTGTTAACCCTCCTACGTTTTGTGGGAGGGGTGTGTTTTCCAGCCCCCCCCCTTTTTCAAAATAATTTAAAACACACTTTCACACTACCCTATCTCAACGCTTAGGAGAAAACCATGTTGGGAGGGGGTAAGGGTGTTTTTCAACCCCCCCCCCCCTAAAATCTTTTTTAGACAAGAATATCTCAATCGGGAGAGGGTTAAGGTACGATTATATTGTAAAAATAACATGGGGAAATGCAAGTGATCAGAAATATTGAGCCTCTGATAAAAAAATGTCACCTACAGTTTAGAGGTTGCGAAGAAATATTTGACTTCAATGAAAAAATCTTTTACTTCGTTTAAAATTAACTTTTCTTCGGAACTCAAATTATTCTTAAAATAAATTTTAAATTATACAGTTTCAACACATTGATTTTTATAGGCTGAACAACTGAAAGGCCCCGAGGGCATTGCCCCATTTAGAGGTTCTATTCATTTAATAACAATGATAAAAACTGTGTTTTTAAGAAATACCCCTTGTTACCTGGCTATCAAATATGCAATTTTGTTCTTGCAATGCCCACTCTAATTATAGTACCGCAATGAGTATAATGCAATTTACACGCTATATATCCGCTATAAAACAGAAGTAAAATGTTAGCGATCGAAACCAGATTTGTTTGGGAGTCCACCTATACCCTTTTAAATCTTTAAGGTATAAGAATTAGAAAATTGAAGTTTAATGCGAGTCATAATTTCTTTTTTTCAGCCATCATCAATACTGTTAGTCTAGAGATCGGTGCGTTCGCCTTTTTTTCAATCGTTAAAAACTGATAATGTTTTATGAACTGTATTAATCTATTATATCAAATATTTATGAATAATATCTAACTAACTTGTATATATTCATAATAATAGCGTGATTTGTTTTTCCAGTGCAGTCTTAGTAAGAGAGCAAACAATATTAAGTATCAAATATCATATTAATATATGTATCCCCCCAGTTATTGATCAAATATATTTATATATACAGGGCTGGGTAAGTAAAAAACAGGGATTATCAATGTTTTTGACAACATTTTCAAATTTATTATTCTGTTCGGAATTTAGTCATAAATAAAACAAAATTATTTTGAAAAAAATTAAACTTTTGAAAAATTTATGGGTAAGTGTTTTTGTTTTGTTTTCAAAAACTTCTTTAAAATTCATCAAAAATTGAATGGATATTACAAAAAATGTAAGCCAATTATTTGCATTTTTGAAGATTTCCACTCGAATTTTTTTGCGGATTTTTTATTATATCTCATTCAATTTTTACGAAATTTTTGAAAACTATAGAATAAAAATTTTCCTAACGATTTTCAAAGAATTAAATTTTTTCACAAAAAAAGTTGGTTTTTTAATTAAAAAAATATTTAATTTTGTTATCAGATTTTTTTCCATCTTTGCTTAAAATTCGATAAAAATAAAAATTTCGAAAATTTTGTCCACAACATCGGTTATCCCTGTGTTTTTTTTAAATTACTAAAACTAATCTAATTTCAAAATTTCTGAGATTTCTGTTTTATAATTTCGTGAAAATAAATCTCTAATGTTTGGCTTATGCTGTAAATTTCTATGCTGGAATCATCTGAGTGCGGCTGATGAACTCTTGTATTGGTTTTGCTATGTTGCACCAAGGGATTACTGATCTAAAGTAAGACCAAAGTATAAGATCTTCTTTAGGCTACATTGGTACCCTTGTATTTCTTTTCTTTCATTAATCCCTATATTTTACTAATTCATTATCATTCATCCTTCAAGAGAGCGCTGGGCCATATTTATCAAAATAAAAAAAAATCATTAAACTGAACGGATAAATGCTAAAGACTGATTACCATGAAAGGAATTCACTATATTCTTCTAAAAGACTTTGTTCTTATTCCGTATTCGTGTGTTCCATGTTTGTTCTTGTTCCATGTTTGTTATTGTATTATGTTTGTTCTTGTTCCATGTCTGTTCTTGTTTCATGTGTGTCCTTGTTCTATTTTTGTTCTTGTTTCATATTTGTTCTTGTTCCATGTTTGTTCTTGTCTTACAAGAAAACTAATGCAATTACTAACCAAAAGTTTGGATCAATCTGGATAAAAATAGAAATAATGCTCGTCAATGATCAAAAATCTCAAAATATGTTTTCAGAAAAAGCACAGATACAGGGTTACCCACAAAAGATGAGACTTCAGAAACGACTGAACAGAATTTATTCTGTCCTTTTTCTTACTTTCATAGTTTCCTGCAGCTGTAAAACTTTTATTTGTTTAATCAGTAAAAATCTCAATAATCGGAGATATTTCAATAGAAAATTTAATTTAATCTTCGATCATAGTATTTATTAAGTTTCAGGCCGTCATCAGAGTTTCATCCTTTGTGGGCAACCCTGAAGTTCGCTACTGCTTTTCAGTTTAATTAATATTAAACATTTTCTGAAATTGAGAGATTAGTGGAGACTTAACTTTATTATCTAAGAAATAATTTAAAAACATTATTTTATGGAATTGAAAAGAGTAAAACCCCGACATTAAATGTTGAAAACATTAATGTGACAGTTTTATTAATATTAAATCATTTACTCTTTTATAGATAGGATGAAATTCAATTCAATAATAAAAAAAGAAAAACCTAAAAAGAAAATTATATTTGAAAAGTTTATATTAGATTGGCCTTGGAGATATAGGCAGACATCTACAGTGAAATAAGAAGACACATCATTTAAAGGGACCGTTCACTTATTTGGGTAATTTCAGGGTAAACTAAACAGCCTATTCGCTCTTGATTGGTAATAGTCTTACTTTTCAAAGACAAGTGTGGCCGGAGAAAAAGCAGATTTTTCGTTCAGAATTCGAGCGGAAAGGGACTTGTCCTTCTCTATAGACACTAATTGATGTTTTTTTTCAGTATGTTGTGAATCAAAATAAATTTCGAATATAAAATTAAACTGAACTATCTAATCGTTAATTGTAAATGTCATTATTTTTAATTTTTTTTTTGTTTTTTAACTTTTTATTTCTTAAATAACACTATTTTATTGCACTAAAAATTGTGTATTGCCTGTGTAAAAAGCTGAATTGAACGCGGCAATGTTTTTTTCAGTAACAGCAGCCCAGTAACATTTAAATTTAATATATTTTAATGTCATTATGTGTTCGTTATTATGTACTAAAATATGAAAGTAAGACTATTACCAATCAACAGCGAATAGGATGTTTAGTTTACCCTGAAATTACCCAAATACAAAATCTACAAAATCTCCGAACCAAAATACGAGTAATGATTAATTGATTGTCGAAGAGACGTCGTCTTTGTATACACATATTACGAAAAACGTAATATGTGCTAACTAAAATATCAAAAGTTTTCATATTTTAGTACATAATAACGAACACATAATGACATTAAAATATATTAAATTTAAATGTTACTGGGCTGGTGTTACTGAAAAAAACATAAAATAGTGTCTAAAGAGAGGGACCGTCCCTTTCCGCTCAAATTCTGAACAAAAAATCTGCTTTTTCTCTGGCCACACTTGTCTTTGAAAAGTAAGACTATTACCAATCAACAGCGAATAGGATGTTCAGTTTACCCTAAAATTACCCAAATAAGTGAACGGTCCCTTAAAATAATCATGAAGTCATAACTTTTTCTGAGATAAAAATGGCCCCTTGTTAAAATATAAAAGTGCTGTTTAGACTTTTAGGTGGACTTTAAAACACATATAATCTCCTTTGCCAAAAATATGATCTCTACATTCATATTGTGATATTGATAATTTATATGGTTACTGTAGTGAATTATACTAAAAAGTAGCTTGCAGATTTATGCAGCAGAGGCAATGACTGAAAACCATTTACAACTTTTTGAATCAGAAAAACGATGTTATCTTGCATTATCATTTCAAGAAAGGGCTTAAAGGTACCAATGTAAATCGGTCATGACAAAGTAAATTTAGGTCCACAGCCCCTTTATTGATAAGGTAGACAATGCCTGATTACCAACATTACTCTTAAAAACTTTTTCTTTGCAAGAATGAATGAGATTTCAATGTTTATATGTTTAGAAAATGATTTTTTTCAATTGTGGATTCTCTACTAAAGTAACTTGCGCATTTTATTAAATTAAAACATACAGAAATTATCAGAAATAAACACTTTTAAACCTAGAACAATGCATATCTTCCAAATTATTTTTCAAATGGTTTCAAGTAGGGTTTCCAACGCAAGTGGATTTTACTTGCGCGCAAACGAATTAAATTGCGCGCAATTCCGTCCAACTTTCTTGCGTTGAGTTTAAATTTTTGATAAAATTCAATTTAAACCTTATGGAACGCAATAAATGCCATTAATTATTGCGCAGTTCCTTTCAACAACAAAATATTCAATTTAAACTTTGGCAGTGGCATACCATAAACTGAACTTCACTAACATTTCAGTCTCAGATGCTAAGAAAATTGAATTTAAACTTAATATTTTGTTTTATAATATTCATTTGCAGCATGATAACCAGAAAAATCTGACATATGAAGACGACAGTTTAGACTCAAGCAGACCCATGTAACTGGATAAGTGAGTTAATAAGTTACTAATTAATTTTGTTCGAATTGTAACTATAACATCAAATACACTGTGATGTTGTCTTTCTGTACCATGTAGTTTTCTGGTTCTCCCTGTAGCAAAATATCTAATTTTGATTAAACGAACCTCACAATTTTAACCAAAAAAAATTTTCCATTTTAATGATATCCAATGTTAACAAATGAAAAATGTATCATATTAAATTGTTAATTAGAAGCTTAACCACAAGAAACTTTAAAATTTGAAAATTGTTGAAACAAGTGACACTCGGCCTCGGGTTTCGATTATTTTAAAATCAACAGAGATATTTAATTCCATTCTTGTATCTGCTGCATAAATTTGTAAGTCGTACATTTAAAATTATTGATTTTTTAGACATGAAACCAATTCCGATGCACGCAATTCCGTGCAATTCCGCTCAATTCCGCGCAATTCCGCGCAATTCCACGCAATTCCGCGAATATTTAATTGCTTCCTTTTTCGCAATTATAGCGCAATTGCGCGCAGTGAAATGGCGCAAGCGGAAGCAACCATTGCGCGCAATTTCGCGCAAAAGAATTCCGATTGGAAACCCTAGTAGGATACCATTGTGAAGTGGGCATATGTCACTTTCTTCTTGTAGGATAACTTTTAATAACGCTTACAATTTCTTTAATGATTTACTTATGATTTCAGGTGATTGGCGGATTTTCTGTTATGTTAACTGAGACTGTTGTAATAATATTTGTGCTAGGGTTATGGGTCTACTCAATTCTCAAATTCTTAAGGTATTTTTTAATAGTCTGTAACAATATCTTTAATTTTATTGAAAATAATTATTAAAATAAATGATGTAACATATTAGGAAATTTTAAGACAGTGTATGACATATAATTATGCTAAATAAAATTAAAAATGTGTTATTTTGATAGTTTTTAACAATTGCTTAAATTTTGTGCCAATTAATTATCAAAATAAATGATGCAACATCTTCGGAAATTTCAAGACAGTATATGCAATATAATTATGCTAAATAAAATTTAAAACTGTTTTTTTTACTTTGGAAATTTACAAATTAAAACATTTGAAAAAACATGTGTATTGTGTACCCTGCGCAAGAATTATTTTTACTTTTTTAACATTATAATGACTTAGCGTTTTCCCAGATTTCTTCAATTTTAATTTGTTAACAAAATGATTACGTCCTTTCTTTTTAAAACGTGTTTATAAGATTATGTTTTAAGATCGAGGCCAGAGTCTGAATTTAATGAATTTGAGCCGCGTCTCAAATCCGCTCAAAACTGCTTTTAATTGAGCGTCGGCTTAAATCTTGAAACATTGAATACAATTTTAAGTGGAACCTTTCATATTTGAGCCGCGTCTCAAATTTAAGCCGCGGCTCAATTCTTCAAATTCGGCCTCTGATATTTAATTTTCTGTTTAGATTTACTTATTTCTTACAATGACAAACAGAAGACAGTTATATTATTGTCACGATTATTCGACCTTTTCTTTTCATTTGGAATTTTGCTAGGAATTGCGTGATTTGTAATTATTTTAAAAAAACTTTTGTATCTTTGACTGCGGAGATTTATTGGTGCCATTAAGATGGGCAAAATGTATCTAGTGAGTTTTACTTTTAAGGAGAAATTGAAATGACGTCTCCTCAAAATACTTTTTTTAAATAATTTAGTTGCAATAGAAATATTAATTTATAAATGTCACAAAGACGACATTACTTCTCCTGTTTTCTTGAAATGGGAGAGACTGACTAAAAAACATATTTGAACTTAGAGTGCAGTATCATACAGAAAAATTTTAGGATTTATGATACCGTTTAGACATTGTACGGTATAAACAATTTTAAAGCAAGACTGAATATCGTTTTTAAAATTTCACCAGAAGATCGATGATCTGCAGAAAAAAAAACATATAATTTTATGGTAACCCCTTAGAAACATATAAAAAATAGTCTGTAAACTAATTTAGACTCTTACTTAGAATTTTTCAACGTAAAACGGCTCATTTGTACCAAATTAATACTAAAATAGTTCTCTATGATACTGAACGCTTAGTTCCACTACCATGTCTAGCCAGTCACTCCCTTTTTAATACTGTATATCCCTAGATACTGGTGGATCTGGTTGATACCTGCTCCTGGGGAACCATATTTAGCCCTTCCTCAGGCCAATTCAGGAATATCTATTTTTATTTAAAAAATATTTAAAGGATTTTGATGATTTTTCATAGGAATATAAAAAATGTAAATCTGTATATTTTCATTTTCTTAATTTATTTCAAGATCAAAATGGCAATCAATTATAAATTAAAGATTTTTTTTCAACTTTCAACTATGCGCACACCGCCGTTTTCAATTTGATTAGAAGTGATTCAACTAATTATAGGAATATCCTCCAGGTTCCCTTGAACTATGTTTACTAAAATGAATTTTAAAAAATGTTTTGAATTACATTTTCCAATAAACAATTTATTTGCTCTGCAATTTTTTAATCCCCATATGTTTACAACCTGATGATGTTAACCATTGATATTTCAAACTTAGAATATTAGATATAAAGGATTTGATATTTTGAAATGTCTCAGAGGTCTAAGACTTTGCAATAGATAAATAAGATTAAATAGCGATCATGTCGTCTTCACAATACCGGAGTGTTTCAGCTGAAAGCCTTAAATTGAAGTTATGAATTTAGCCTGTGAATTTAGCTTTTTATTTGCTACGTCCGTACAGTATATTGAATAAAATGAGTTGCGGCAAGTATTGTTTATACTCCCTACAAATTTTTGGAGTATTTTGTTTTGCATAGAGGACTAGTATAAATACACATTACACACTATTCAGAATAACAAAATAAGGATCAGTTAAAAGTACTTTTCTACAAATTAACCTTTTAAAATGACGAGTTCATGATGTACAAGGGGTTGTAAATTTGTCAACTTTAAAGTCTGCGTAAGCAATCTATTCTAATGTATCTAGGGACTTTATGTTTCAAAGATATAGGGAGTAGAAAAGTTGAGTTTGTAGCAAAGACTCAAATCCTTAGATCAACCTATTCTATGTTGGAAAACGTGTTTTTTTGGTTTTTTAAAAAATATGTTATTCTAGATTCAGTTGTTAACAGACAGGTAAGCACAAGGTTGGCCACAGGTTTGTAGGTGGAATATTTTAAATCTATTCGAAATTTATCTAAAATTAACACATTGAAGAGCCATTTAAAAATATAAATAATAAAAAATAGAAGAAAAAATAAAGTAAAAATGTTAAGATATATTTATTGCTACGTTTGTCAAAAGATCATCATACGACGCATTTTTAGTAATTCGAACATAGGGCGCAAAGGTGAACAACTTATGTTGTTTTCCTACTAATTATTATCAATTTTTGATTTAATTTATCTCATGAATTAATTACATTCTCTCTGTTTATAGTATGGTGTGGGAGATGACATTAAACTACGTCAGCCCTGGAGGTTTCCTAGTTTAGGTATTTTTATATTCATTTTCTTAATTTTCATGTAATTGTTTCATTTATTTTTTTTACTTAAGATTTTCTTTAATTTTCTTTCGGTTTGGTAGATTTTCTAATATATTGCTTTCAAAGATTTTCTAATATTGGTTTGATAAATTTTCTTAAAATGGTTTGGTAGATTTTCTGAAATTGCTATTTGTTAGATTGTCTAAAATTGCAGTTTGGTAGATTTTTCAGATTAGTCTAAAATATATATTATTAGATAGTAAAATATCGATTATCTTTGATTAGTTCTGCAGATTTTCTCAGATATATTTAGAGAATTTGTTCACTAATCACATGGATTTTGTTTGTTTAGTTCAAAATTTCCATAAATTGTTCAAAATTACTGGTTCTAATTTCTAGGGTTGAAGATAACTGCGCGTGCTTTCTAAAGCAAAATGTGCTTTTGTAGTTTTGAATGTTCATATGAAATTACTACATTGAATAGATCAATACAAAAAAATGTATTAATTTATCAGTGAATTACTTATTTGTTTAGTTTCGCTACCCCTGTATCCTCAGAAGAGCCCAGCTATCTATCTATCAGTACCTGAACAAAAAACATCGAGGCAAAATTTATTTAGTTTTTATAAAAAAAATATTCTTTCACTTAGTTTTTATTATCTAGCAAAGTTATAATTAAAACCTCTGTTCCGGAACTTTGTCCAGCCTTACCGAGCGCTATGGCAAGGGCAGACTTGGGAAGTTTCCACTTGGGAAATACTCTTGGGAAGTTGCCGCTTAGCAACATTTTTTTTGAGAAAGTACCATAACTTCATGAGTTATAGATCGGACATATAAACAACCGCAGACACCCAAACAGAAATTACTAAAGGGCGCAAAACAATAAAGCAAACACTTCACACTTTTTCTCTCCGAGAATTGATTATTACCCGATCATAACTAAATTAATATCACAATGTCTCTAGGATGTTAATACATACAGAGTGTCCCATATTAGATTATTTCCAATCTTTAATGCTAAAATACGCACTTAATACTCGAAAAATCTAGCATTTTCTACAAAAAAAATTCTATTAGCCGTATTAAATTTTTCAAAATAATTCATTCTTCTTAAATTTTCTGATTTGTCACCCAAATCGTAATTCAGATCCATTGACGTGGTCTAATTTAATGTGGGACACCCTGTACGTGGTTAAAAATATCAAATTTGGTCAACCCTACTCTCTTGGAGTACAGTGTTAACGCATTTTCTGTATGCTTTATACATACTTTACACTACAGTAATAGCCTAAAAAAATCAAATGCTTATCGTCTTCATACTGATCAAAGATATATATAGTAGATATGTATATATCTACATCTTACATATTATAAAATATATTCATTGTAAATATTGAAAAATCGAAAACAAATATTCTTTCTTCAGATCTCCCTCTTTACCCACAATACAAAGAAAAAGCTCGCAGATTCCATCATTTTCCTGCAGGTACGTTTACAACTAAAAATGATCTCATTTATACCCGAATTTGTCATAACTAGTTTACAGGGAAGTTAATGGAATTTTACTTTACAAATGGTTCCCAAGACCAACTGTGTTTACAAAACATCCAAACCTCAGCGAGGAATGATTTGTTGGCAAAATTGGTCGAGGGAACCCGTGGTTAGGTAAAATTTTTAATTTCCCGAAAAAGTGGTTGTACTTCGCAGAGCGGGTCGTTTTACTTAATTGTCCCAAGTTACTTTACGTCCCTCTGTTGGGGGAATCATGGGTCAGTAATCTTGGTTAAAAAGTGGTTAACAAATCGGACTTCTAACTTTGAAAAAAAATTAATTAAATTAAATAATGTTGAGATCATTGACGTGTCAAACATGAGAGTGTTAGAGAAAAAGCTAATTTCTTATTCATATATATATTTTTAAATTTGCAAATTTTAATAATTTAAACTATAAATTCTGTTTGAGCAAAAAGTCTAAGTTAGGATTATTAAACTAGAATTAGATTTTGCAATAACTAATCAGTTAATTTTATTTGAGATAAAATTTCTTTTGTTAAATTTTTTATTCAAAAATAGAAATCGACTAGCGTTTTCAAGTTTTGTGAAACGGTTTTTCGAATATTCTAATATCCTATATTTAAGCCTAACTAGTGTTTAGAATTCTTAGTAATTTTGTTTCATTCCCTTTTTTTGATTTAAATTATAAAGTTAATTGAACAATCTTAGAGTTAATTAGTTTTTTTGAGAACTTAGATAATTTAAGCTTTCTAAAGAAATTTGGGTTTCTAAGGAGATAATTTCTTACTTTCTCGATAAAGAATAAGGAGAAATATTGTCATCGTTTTTAATAAATTTTGGTTTTGTTTTACATTTTAAAACATTTTGCATTCAAACTTTTCATTTGAAAAAATTATCATTTCGTTTTTACTTTATCTCACGTTTCAAAATCATTTAATCTGCACGCATATATGAATATACAAAAGTAGTGTAAATATCTGATTACCCTAACTAGCCTAAAACAATTTACAATTCTAACTAAAAACAATTGTAACTTGACAACAGTAATGAATATTTAAGTAAAGCTGAAAAGAATATTAAAATAACGAATTATAATTAAAAGCAATTAGGAACATATTGTAAGAAAAAAATCAAATAATTATTATAATTTTCTGAAAATTGTATAATCAAAGAAATAACAATTCGGCAAATATGGAGGGTTTGTTAAACAAATTGAATTCCAAAATTCATGAAAACTAATTTCTTCTTATTTTTTTAGAGAGATATAATGAGCGCATTAGAGAAAACCACAACATCTATGTTTTCAAGAAATTAATAAATGCGGTTATATTGCATATATTAACTTTATACTTAATTCAACCTACCTGGTAGAAAATGTACTAGCTATACAAAGTTAAATTTTCCAACAGAATTTATTTTTCGCAGACTAAAAACACTAGAATCAATGGTTACTTTTTTGTTATAAAGAAATTGAGTCTTTGCCACAAACTATGAATTTCTTATTTCCATATTCTTTAACCCAATGTCGTAGATCTAATATTGTTGCCGTGCACATAAATGTGCCTCCCAATTTTATCCCGCGAAATGTCGTCTTAACTACCCTTCCCCTAACTTCGGATCAGTCCAAACCAAAGAATATACTCCGGCATTGCTCATACAAAGAAAACATTGAATTGTAAAACGTTTTAACAAGTAAATACTTAAATCCTACAGCCCGTGAATAATTCTGCAATCCATAGCAAATCTACTTAAACTACCGGGGTTTTAATTTCAGAAGTAACATCCACATCTGATCACCTCCTCCGATCTCAAATCACTTCTTAATTAACCCTGACACACTTAACTAGTAAGATACCCAATTAATTGTTGGTGAAAATAAACTTAGTTTGAAAGATCAAAGGTTTACAACATCGAGGTTGCAAAGATATAAGATTTAGAAAATTGAGCTTGTAACAGAGACTCAATTTCTTTTCTTCTTTTCTTTTTTTTTTAATCTTAATGTAAAGAAGCTTTTCAAAATTCATTACTAAATACAAAAGTTTTTAATGAAAAGGAAGGCTACCATGGACGATCAAAAGGCTGGGCGCTATTTCCAAAACTCAAAATTGTCCATAACTTTTTGAGCTGAAAAAAAAATTGCAAGCGAAACATTGTGATATTTTTAACTCTAATCAGCTACAAATTTGTTCAAGACTATCTTGTTATGTTAAGGTCTGATTCTGAACCCAATATATCTGTCTATGGTGTTCAAGACTCTCTTGTTATGTTTAGGTCTGATTCTGAACCCAATATATCTGTCTACGGTGTTCAAGACTATCTTGTTATGTTTAGGTCTGATTCTGAACCCAATATATCTGTCTACGGTGGAATGATCGGGGGAAGAAAACCAAGCATAGTGCTTACCCATGCTAGCGTTGAGAGGTAAATGCAAATACGATAAAAATTTGTTTTCATTTTCAAGACTGGATCAAATTTAAAGTGTCCCAACGCCTTGTTATTTAAGTTTATCTCACCAACTCTCTTTTACTTTTTTGTAACCTTAAACATGTATGATTTAAAACGATAGAGCACTTACGTTTGGCTTCTGCAGTTTCTAAGATGTAATTGGCAAAACTGGCATCAAATTTTGCAGGATAGCTTGCAACTTTTGGATCACTGCGAAATAAAAAAAATACCCTTTCCCCCCCCCCCTTCTCCTTAATAGCGACTCTAGCTAGAGAAAATATATTACGTAATTCATATCTTTAAGGGTAATGATATGAATCTGACATGTCACTTAAATTACATTAATTTATTTATCATAAAATGGCTGGCTTTAAAAAAACTTTTTTCTCTTTTAAAACTGTTCAACTTTTTCTTTTATATTAAAACTTTAAACTTTAGCTTGAGCTTTAATTTTTTTCATTTTGAATATTTGAAAAACAAACATTCATCTGAAAGTAGCTATGTAAAACGTGCTTAAATCTAATAAAAAAAAAATCGATTTTGGAAAGTAAATCAAAAACAAGTTTTATCTTTATTTTGTTAAAAAGTTTAAATCTGATTAATTTTTCATTTCCGAACGGACAGATATCTTTTAGAAAGCTTTTATAAGTTTGGATTCTAGAAACACATTTAAAACCAACAATATGTGGCAAGGTGGTTTCTTTCTAGGAAAGGGGGGGGGGAGGAGACTCAAAAATATTTTTCTTCATTTTATCGAACATATTGTTCGGAGTAACGAAAACAGGGATATAATAATAACAAAAGAAATATGCCTCACTTTTTTTTTCAAACATTGTCATGTATTGGTATCATTAATAGCAAATTTAACATTTTTTCAATAAATATAATCTATTTTCAATTATTTCCAGGGATGATGATCGCCTTCCGTCTAACTTGTCTCTTGGGTCTATGGAAATTAGGTATAAAGATAAAACTGCATCGTCAACAATTCAAACTGAACATAAAAATAGAAATAAAAAATAGTGTTTCTGTCAAAAACTACTCTTCCGCCAATTGAAATATTGCGCTTGTTTACGTCTCACTAAAAACTCTGGTTTATATGAAGTACCGGACTGATTTTAAGAAAGCAGTGAGCAAATTTTACACACAGCCAATCTCTCATGTATGAATACATAGCAAAAGCGCATGAAATGTCGTCTTGAAATTTATTTTAAAATTTATGACAGCTGTTATGTATTGTTATGCACAAAAAGAAAGTTGCTGAGATGTTCGCAGGGTTGAATACGATTTATGAAAATATATCCAAATATCATTGTGGAGTCATAAGTTTTTTGATAATTCTTAAGAAACTGTTTTTTTTTTATTTTTAAATCAAAGAAAATTGAACAGGAAAAATTGGAAGGGACATCTCTTGATATTAGAGATGGGGGCTTGGAAGACATTCCCCCTTCCCCTCCTCCCGGGAGGAGGGTGTGACGATTGCTCTCCCACCCCCCTCCCCGCCCCTAAGAAATTATCAGGAATTGGTGTTTTGCTTAGTCAGGTGCAACTCATGTGTAAACAATTCAAAATAGAGTTCCGAAAAAAGAAAGAAAGATCCTATCAGCTAATTCAATTAAATACAGAGTTAAGAAAAAAAGCAAGTTCCTTTGACAATAGTTTTTTCTTGTAAAGTGGCGAACTACAAGGATATCCAAAAAAAATAATTCTTTTCTTGTTTTTTCAAAATTAGCCGAAATAAGATTGGAAGATGTACGAGCAAGAAGAAAATGAAGAACTAGAAGTATTGAAATCTCATTATATTTTTTTTCTGATATCATATAAATATTCAAAAATATTGTAAAACTTAATTAAAATAAATGGTTAAAGTTAATGTTGAGAATACGACATTACAAAAAAAACTCTTGCTATGTATTCAGATATCTGGGATTCACTGTTTGTAAACTTTCATTAAATACGGCAAAACCTGATGTGTTCTGTATAAAAGAAAGATGGCGACAAAAGAAAAAAGTTTAAACAAGATTGTTCTGTAGAAGGGAGATCCAAGTTTAATAAATAAAAACACAATGTTAATTTCTAGTTGGAAATGATTATTTGTGGCTACTGTGCAAAAGTTGTCTTGTATGCATAGAGAATAGAATATATATAGAAGGGAATTTACTAGAAAAAAGTGCAAAACGGCCATTTTGTTGTACTGTTTCCATACTGCAGGTGTACTTCACAAATTTATGCTATATAACCTGGTGTGCCCTGGAATATCATTTTATAGAAAATCTAAAATTATTGTTAAAAGAAAACCAAATTATGAAATAGGCTGATTTCATAATTGACCAATGATCATTTCACATAGACTCTATGCCTTCCACTTTACAAACGACGATTTTCCGTTATAACTATAAATCAAATGATGTTTTTATTCACCTAATTCATTATAAAGTTTATTTAACAGTTTAAAAAATTCGAAATTGAAACGGATAGTCTTGGGAACATACTGTATTAATGTACTCTACTGCATATAATTTGTGAACATTTACGTGATTTGTACACTTTGAACTCCCTTTCAGACTGAAAGGGACTGAAAAAATTCATACCGAGAGATTCTTTTAATTCCTCTTTATATATTCTATTCTCTATGCTTGTATGTGAACCAATAATTATATTATAAGTTCATCATAAAAGTTTGCTTTGTACTTAAAAACCTTTTAGCCAGTTCTAGATGAAAATTTTTATAAAATTCTTTCAGGGTTATTAAGAGGTTAATTAATCTATTTTTTTCAGTTGGACTCATAAAACTGTAGAATGGGGAAACGACATTTTATGGAATATTATGTCATTTGAGGTTGCTAAAAAGTATATAGTTTTTCAAGTTGCTTTTATTAGGTTGAAAATTAATTTACTTAGTAAAATGAGTCAGGGTGTCCACACAATTGCTGATTTCCATATTTACTTGTCTATCAAAATTTTTAACTTAATTTTAAGACTCTTCTTTTCCATAATTGTGTGTGTCTAACCGTCTTTGAATGGGTTTTTATAATTTCTTCTAAAAATAAAATTATTGGTACCTACATATATTTGGAAAAATAGGAACAATCCTTTTGAAAATATAATTCTAGGGTTGTTTGTGATGATTATAAACCTTCAAGCAGAAAATACCTAGATACTAATCCTAGCCCTTCTTCTTTTAAAGGTCAGATCAATTTATTTTATTTTTTTTTTCAAAGAATTTATTATCTATATATTTAAGCATCAAAATATTAATTAATAGCAAACAATGTTAAACTGTATTTTTAAAAACATTATTGATAAGTTTATTCATTTTTAGCAAATAATGTTTTGTTCTTCTTTTCATTCATGATTTGAAAAATCAATTTATTAAAAAATCAGGGGGTGTATTTTATTAAGGTAAACAAAAAGATGCAACATTCAACTCGGATCGTAAACAAATCAATTTAATTCCAAACAAATCATTCAGATATTACAACCAGTAATCATCTTTTATTTTTCTACGCATTCGTATATAGTTAATATTTCATAATATTTTTAATTCTGTTTTTTTTTTAAATAATTTTCGCTGACCCTTGATTTTCGAACATTTCTGGAAAATATAAAATCTGTCGTCTTCATTATCAAAAATCCTTGAAACAGGAATGAATATTGACAATGTTATAACTGTTACTGCCTTTTGCCCAATATCATGACTGTCCATTTTCCCAAGAGCAAACGTGAGGTTAAGTTACTGTACCTGAGGACAATCAAGTACATTTTTAAATAAATCACGGGAGGTTGTTTTTTTTTAGAAAGGGGGGGGGGGTCCAGAACAACCAAGAGAGAACTTTGCCATATTTACAATTGGTAAAATATTTAATTTTTAGGACAGAGAAGTATAACCCCAGTAATAATGTTCCCTGAGCATCAAATAGACAGGTATATATCAATACAATGAAGACGACTTTCGATTTCAATTTTTATTTGTATCTAGCTTTCAAACAGCATGGTTTAAGCATGGAAACAAAGAGAAGTTGTTAATTAACAGAATCTCTTTTATGCTTGCAATTTGAAAAAAGCTTGTTAAAAATAAAAAAAAACACTTAGATGAAAAGGATGTCTTCATTTTATTGAAATAAACGCCAACCATTGCTTCTAAGCTTTCCATACTTTGATCTATTCCTTTAAAAAGCTATAAAAGGAGCTGTACCATTAAAAGCTTGGTCTGATCAAGAATGAATTAAATATCAATATCTTTGTTTCTCTAAACCGTTTATTGTCATTTACTGCGAAAGTGACTTGCGCATTTCTTGCTTATAAGAAGCGATGGAGAAATTCGCAGAACTTCACAGAAAATTCACTTTTCGAATAAAAAATTGTTTTCCCACATTTTTCAAGGGTTTAAGTTTACCGTTGTAATTCAGTCATTACCATCTTTGCATGGAGGGTTACTTGAAATTACGCTTAAAGTCTCTTTAAGTAGGATCCAACCATTTTTTAATACGTTGATACATCATACCAAATAGACTCTAGTACAATAAATAGCAACGTAGAATTTGTACACTCTCAGTACAGCTGTATTCTGACGTCACAAGTGTCAACTTATTTTTTTTGTCCGACAAAATTATTAATAATAGTGATGATTTTAAAATAAAGTGCTTATCTTACAGTGAAATAAGTGCAATTATATGTGTTCTTTATTTTCTGTTTTACGCTTTTTTTATTTCATCTTGGAAAAGTGTGAGAAAATTTCGTTTAAATTGTTATATTTGACACTTGTGACGTCATGTATAATTGGTTTATTTCTCCGTTGCCACCTATTGTACTTAATAAACTATTTGCATCATACACACTTATTTCTGTGATATCTATCACGTCGCATTATATGTTTCTAAAAGCCGTAAAAAAAAATATTTTTTAAAATTTTATAGTTATATAAAAATTATCATCTTCATATTAAAGTTTTTACTTCTGACAATAAAATTTAATAACTCATCATTTTAAATTTTAAAGATTTCTCTTTTTAAGTAATTTGAAATTCCGCCAGTCTTAAATCGTTTACACAATTTTGAAATTAAATATAAACTGAAGTTTGAACTAAAGAAAATATAGATAATGTCTTTTTCAATAAACTTTAATTTCTAGATGTGGCAGTGGGATGATTTCTGTGTATGGATCAAGAAGAAACAGGAAAAAACTACAAAAATCGAAAGAAAAAAATCCAAGTCTTAATAATTATTTGTTTCGCTACAAGCTACTTGGATTTACAAAAAAAAACTTTAGCAAATAATGCCAGTTACATAAGTCGACCAGATTAAGGTGCTTATTTTTTATTTGAATAAAAGAAAACAATCTAACAATATTCCCGTGGTTATACAGAGTTCCCCGGGTCAAATTTTAGTAAAATATATTCAGGGAATTCATGAGTTACACCATAACCGAGACTATTACTTTTGATCTAAAAATGCAGTTTTGTTCTAGCATAATTTCATCAAGACGGAGTAGTATAGCAGCTTCTAGACGTGCAAGCTCAACCTCATTATATGTTAACCCTACTCATTTAACCAGGTATATGTTAACCCTACTCATCTAGTCAGGTATACGTTAACACTACTCATCTAGTCAGGTATATGTTAACCCTACTCATCTAACCAGGTATACGTTAACCCTACTCATCTAGCCAGGTATACGTTAACCCTACTCATCTAACCAGGTATATGTTAACCCTACTCATCTAGTCAGGTATATGTTAACCCTACTCATCTAGTCAGGTATATGTTAACCCTACTCATCTAACCAGGTATATGTTAACCCTACTCATCTAACCAGGTATATGTTAACCCTACTCATCTAGTCAGGTATACGTTAACACTACTCATCTAGCCAGGTATACCTTAACCCTACTCATCTAGCCAGGCATAAATTAACCCTACTCATCTAGCCAGGTATACGTTAACACTACTCATCTAGCCAGGTATACGTTAACACTACTCATCTAGCCAGGTATATGTTAACCCTATTCATTAGCCAGGTTTATGTTAACCCTATACTCATTTAGCCAGGTGTATGTTAACCCTATACTCTTCTAGCCAGATAAATGTTAACCCTATAATCTTCAAGCCAGGTATATGTTAACCCTATACTCTTCTAGTCAGGTATATGTTAACCCTACTCATCTAGCCAGGTATATGTTAACCCTATACTCTTCTAGCCAGGTATATGCTAACCCTATACTCTTCTAGCCAGGTATATGTTAACCCTATTCATCTAGCCAGGTATATGTTAACCCTTTACTCATCTAGCCAGGTGTATGTTAACCCTATACTCTTCAAGCCAGGTATATGTTAACCCTATACTCTTCTAGCCAGGTATATGTTAACCCTATACTCTTCTAGCCAGGTATATGTTAACCCCATACTCTTCTAGCCAGGTAAATGTTAACCCTATACTCTTCTAGTCAGGTATATGTTAACCCTACTAATCTAGCCAGGTATATATTAACCCTATACTCTTCTAGTCAGGTATATGTTAACCCTTTACTCTTCTAGCCAGGTATATGTTAACCCTATACTCTTCTAGCCAGGTATATGTTAACCCTACTCATCTAGCCAGGTATATGTTAACCCTAAACTCTTCTTGCCAGGTAAATGTTAACCCTATACTCTTCTAGTCAGGAATTTGTTAAACCTACTCATCTAGCTAGGTATATGTTAACCCTAAACTCTTCTTGCCAGGTAAATGTTAACCCTATACTCTTCTAGTCAGGAATTTGTTAAACCTACTCATCTAGCTAGGTATATGTTAACCCTAAACTCTTCTTGCCAGGTAAATGTTAACCCTATACTCTTCTAGTCAGGTATTTGTTAAACCTACTCATCTAGCCAGGTATATGTTAACCCTATACTCTAGGTATATGTTAACCCTAAACTCTTCTTGCCAGGTAAATGTTAACCCTATACTCTTCTAGTCAGGTATTTGTTAAACCTACTCATCTAGCCAGGTATATGTTAACCCTAAACTCTTCTAGCCAGGTATATGTTAACCCTATACTCTTCTAGCCAGGTATATGTTAACCCTGTACTCTTCAAGCCAGGTATACGTTAACCCTATACTCTTTAGTCAGGTATATGTTAACCCTACTCATCTAGCCAGGTATATGTTAACCCTATTCATCTAGCCAGGAATATGTTAACCCTATACTCTTCTAGCCAGGTATATGTCAACCCTATACTCTTCTAGCCAGGTATATGTTAACCCTATACTCCTCTAGCCAGGTATATACTCCACATTCATTGCTCACCTGATAAACACTGTTAAACGATTCCTAAAAATGTTTCAGATTCTTTTAATAGCTTTAAGAAATTCTATAAAAATTTCAAGAAATTTCAACAAAATTTTAAAAAATTTGATCTAAGTTTTAAGAAATTTTGCCAAAATTTTAAAAAGTTCTATTAAAGTTTAAAGAATTTCAATCAAAATATTATGAGTTACCTAAAGACTGTAGGAGATTTCAACAAAGTTTATTTAATTCTTTATAGCGTAACAGATCACAAGAAAAAAATGACCTGTCTTGTATTTTCTTTCAATTTATACTTTTCTGTCTTCTAACTGTTTTTCCTCGAGCTCAAACATACTGTTTCGATTTCCACGAAAAATACATCAAATGTTTATTTTTAGATCACGAATGAGTGTTCCTCATCTAAACTCAAGGGTAATATTTATCTTCGGTATTAGTGAATATAATTTGCTTCTGTAAATTATTTTAAAAATGAATTTATTTACAAAACTCATGTTTTGGTCAAATAGATATTTCTTATCATATTTTTGTCAGTCATGAAATGAATTTAGCCATGGCACCGTTTTTAGAAAGGTATATAAAATTTAGATGGTTTTTACGCATTTACCAACAAGAAAAGATACAATCTATGTATAAATTTGGCTTGTCTGTTTGTTTGCTCTTATTTGCCCACGGTCTATCAGGACATTTTCGCATTCAGCGTAGGGTTACCAGGACCTCTCCGGCTATCAGGACCGGCTGTCAGGACCATCGCGTTCACAGTAGGGTTATCAGGACCAAAAAACGGCTGTCAGGACCTTTTTGTTTCGTGTCAGCGCAAAAAACGCAGAGCAAACCAACACATTTATAGGGTTTAGCGAAAATGTTTCTATACCGATTCGATTATACACTCAAGTTGAATGTCACATATAATGACAGCAACATTAAGATTAGCTTTATAAAATTAATCCGTATCACCATTGATTGGATGATGATGATAATAAAAATCATAAGAATAATAATAATTGATATAGTTTGTTTTCTATAAGTATTAATAATACCGAAACTATAACAATAACTATAAATTAGAAGCGAGAATCAAAGAAAGGAATTGAAATTTTCGCCACAAAA